AATTCACTTTTGTAAAAATAGAAAATAAAAAAAAAGCATTCTTTCCATTTATGTTTTATACTCCGGTGGGCTAATTCATTTTTGTCCTTCAAAAATAAAAGAATCATACATATCTCATTTAAAACCGAATCTAGTGACTCAGATGATGTTCCTCTGAGACGAGTCTGATGAATTACGCAGTTCATAATTTGACAGAATGGCCTCTCCACCGAGAGATGTGGGACGTAAAACTTTATTAAACCATGCGCAAATTCAGACAATTCTAACTGAATATAAAGATTCCAGAACGGATGAGAATGGGAACATTGTGGGTCAAATCGACCCAATATGGAGAGAGACAACATCGAGAATTGGCAATCCTGAGGGGACCGACAAAGAAGATAAAAAAGATGCATACTCTTACCTAGTGTCCAATACTCGAGGGATTCGTTAAACATTATGTCCAAATTGGGGAAGAAATATCAATGTCAGTAGTGAGGAAAATGAGAATCTTCTCAGCTCACTACTGGACAATTCAACATGCGATGAGTCTTACGACTATTCGCTGGAAATTATTCTTCGTATGGATTTTCAAGCGTGGCAACAACTGCAGACTCCAATCCCCTCAATGATTCGAAATATAAAAAAAAAGATTTCGTCAACATTACTCTCTGAATGTCAGTAAGTTAGACCAAAATTTATATTAAATACTGATAAATACTCATATTTTGTCCTAAAAAATGAACTAATTTCTGAGTTTTGTTTTCATAAATACTTGGAGAATTCCTGAACGAAACAATTAGGGAGAAATCAAGAGGGCAGTGTACCTATGTTTTTGAATGTAAAAGCTTCAAAGTCAATAAATTGACGCACTTAAAAGGTACTTGCCAGTGTGGTTCGACAGTACATTGTTTTGTCGACAAAACAAATAACGTTATGATCTTGACATGTCAACTGAAGGAAGGAGAAAGAGTCATGTGTAGTAAACGTAGTACGAAACAACCTCCAAGAGCCAAAGATGCACGTCAGAAACCACCACTTGCTAATTAAAGCAGACTGCACCCTGATACTATCAACGAAATTTCTGATTGTGATTACTTAGATCCAGATCCAATAAAATCAGTCGAGATTCTGGCGACAATGGGGATGAGAAATGACATACCAAGTGTGAGGAGACTCCCGGTTGGCGTCGAGACCTGTACCAAGCATCAGAAAGCAATGTATAGAACACTAATGGTAGAAGCCACAATCCAGATTGTCATTCTCATCGATCATACGGTGTTGAAACCAATGGTAAGTTCAGGGACCACGACCTCTCTTATCTACTATCAAGCAGTGGCCCTCACACCTACTGAGGAAGTTGCTGTAAGTCAGTTTTGCAGTGCTGCCAACACAGACTATTTAATTCAAAACTGGCTCATCAACTGGGTTGAAGTTCTGGAATTACCTCCACGCAAACGTGTGATTATTCAGGGCACAATCCAGCTTCTAAATGCTTGAATGCCTCCAGGCATTCACCAATTCAGCAACCGTTGATCATTACCTTGATAGTTTCGATAGATTAAATACGTTGCCAGCATTCAACATCCGCATCGATGCCATTACTATACTGAAAAAGTAGACTTCCGTTTCCGGACTGCGAGGTGATAGATGGGCATAGTGGTCGCGGAAAATTTTTGTTCATTTTTATTATATTTTGAGTAACAGTGAAGGGGTGGGTGGGTGTGTTTAATGCCTAAAGGAGGTTCTTTAATGCCTAAAGGAGGTTAGGCGGTGTATCAGGTGAATTTGAGAGTGAATTTCTGTGGTTCCCGGTAGCTTAGTCGGTAAGAGTGCCCGGCGCGTATCTGGGAGACCCGGGTTCGATTCCCGGCTGGGTGAAGCGGAAATTTTTTCTCTCTAAATTCTAATTCTCTTAGAATTTTTATTTCATTTATTTTTATTTTTAATATTAAAAAAAAATTAAAAAACATTCTAATAATTAAAAATAATTTTTTTTTAAAATTTTTAACATTAAAAAAAAAATCAAAAAAAATTCTAATAGAATTAGAATTTAGAGAGAAAACATTTCCGCTTCACCCAGCCGGGAATCGAACCCGGGTCTCCCAGATACGCGCCGGGCACTCTTACCGACTAAGCTACCGGGAACCACAGAAATTCACTCTCAAATTCACCTCAAACACCGCCTAACCTCCTTTAGGCATTAAAGAATTCTAAGAGAATTAGAATTTAGAGAGAAAAAATTTCCGCTTCACCCAGCCGGGAATCGAAAGAAGGATCAGCGTCACTTTGGTCATCTTCCGCATCAGAAGGTATGGGGGAACTGGAGAAGTCAGATACATTGTCCGCTTCTTCATCGATTGAAATGCCGGAATCATAGAGATGGAAAGACCGACCTGATCTCAGAGAACTGTTCATCACATCTGGGCTTGGTTCGGGTGTTTCGGCTTGGGGCTTTGATATCTCGGGTGGGGTGTCCGAACATCGAAGATGTGTATCATGAAGATTCACCATTGAGATGGGTGGAATCACATAATTTGGGGCCATCTTCCGGCACTGGCCACAGATTTTCGCCGACTTTGGTAGAAAGGGAAACTTCTTGTGTATTGCCGAGGAAATGGGCCGCAAATCCAAACCATTGTGTCCCTTCTGACCAGGAATCCGTATCGAATTCGCACACCTATCACTTCGCGGCATTCTATGAAATGCAAAATTATCAAATCCAATCCAAAATTATCCGGAAATTGAGAATTATTCCAATAAGTAATGTGACAACTGCTTACCTCGATACAACAGACAGGAAAATGCGAATCGATTCGCAAGGAATTGTACAACGATGAAAACTCAATGAGGAAGTTGAAGTTTTCACTAAAACTAGAGCCTCAGGAAAAAGTGATGATATTAAATCAATGAATTGATTCTTTTTGTTTTCTTTTCTCATTTGTTTGGTCATGATTAGGGGAACTTCCGATAATGATGACACCCTATAGCTCTCTTTTTCCCGACGCATTGTTTCTCTTTTCTATCGTGACGCATCTCTTTTCTAACTCATATTCATCATAGGTATAGATTGAAATATCAATTCCTCAATAAAAACAAGGCAGCTCTCCTAGACGGCGTAAAAATACGAAAATTTAGGAACCAAAAATTTTCTCCGGTACACTGGTTATCTCTCCCACAATGCCGTATTTTTTTACATCATATATGGACGTCCTCTATGAGAAAAAAAATATTCCAGTCGAATACCGGATGGCCCTAGAGCCGGAAAAAATAAAAACGTAAAAATTCATCGAAATTTAGGTGTAGAAGCTTCTTCACGCCTATGGAATATTTTTTTCCTGAAAGTATGAACGAAAATAAAAATTTTCTTTTTTTATTTGTTCAAATCAGATGCGCCATTCAAAAGACATGAATTTTTGAAAATTTAAAGTTTGGTAAAAATCACGAGGCAATGAAATTTGGCAGGAATTCTGTCTATATATAGTAGTTCGAAATGCGGCAACCAAATCATATTTTCTAGACAAAAAAAAATCCGGGGTGGCTGAGTTGACATGGGATGTCCCATATGCGTATAATTAACAGTGGACACCCGGTAGAATCGCAGATCTTGTTCGACGATATTTTGTGGTATAGTGGGACCCATGGTGCCATCCATAATTAATATCGACTGCAAATAAACCGAATGCAATTTCTACTCTACCGACACTGTTTGACCGACTGCAAGGACGGTGTCCAGATGTGGTTGCGTACAGTTGTCCCCGCACATTTTTCATAAGTCTGTGGACAGCCGTGGATGTGTACAGTTGTGGAAGTACGAACGCCCCCCCCCCCCCCCCCCCCCCCCCCCCCCCCCCCCCCCCCCCCCCCCCCCCCCCCCCCCCCCCCNCCAATTCTCTCTACTTCTGTGTCCGTGGCTTTCTCATTCGATTTCTTTGCTGTTCTCGCTCTCAAGCTCAAACATTAAAATCAACATCAACCTATCTCATTTGTAAATATTATCCTGGATTCTATCATCCAATTCGAGTTTGGCGAGGTTATAACAAAATAGTGTAATTAGTGAGAACTGTTTGTTATAACGATTATTCATCATACTGTTCGTTCAACAATGGCACGTGAGCTCTGTGGAAAAGCATGATGGAGACCGACTGCAGTGATAAAGTAAACGAAAACGCGGCCCTCGGAAAACTTACGATTCCGAGTTGACGGATTCAATACTGCTTGGATTCAGAGATAACATATTCACAATAAATATACGGGGTGAAATTGTCATTGTCTCCAAAAATGATCCAATTTGGGTGCAGTTGGCTGAGAAAATCGCTCAGAAGACAGAACCAGGAAAGAAAACGAGAACAGCTGTGGCATTGCACGCGTATGCTTGTGGTAATGAAGTACTGCAGAAACTGCTGGATCCGGCATTCACTCCGAAATCCGCTGTTGAAAATTATGAATATGCAGAGGCAGAGGATGCTGAAAACATCAGTGACACCCGTGACAGCTTGGTTTCAAGCGTACAATATGACTTCAACTTCAGGATTAGTGAATCGGCTGCTCAATACATCGCTCTCATTGAGGAGAGATCGTTTGTTGAAGTCAATAAAGAAACGGGTGTGAAAACTGAGCGATTCCGGTTAAAAGCTATTCGAGGTTCGAAAATTCTCTTTCATTTCTCAATTTTAGTAGCTATTTTTCCAAGTTCTTTCCAGTCCAAAATATATAACAATTTTTGTGAAGAACTTTTCGGTACATTGGAGAAAGCATTACAGAAAAATTTCTTATCAAACTTTTGCTATTGCCTATTACTTTCGAAATATTGCGCAAAAACTAATCATGGGCTGAACTCGAATTAAATTGCTAGACTCTTTCGCTACTCATTAATTCATTTTTTCTCATTAACAATGATCTTGAACATGATTGAAAACAAAAAAAAACAATTCAATTGATATGGAGTGTTTTTTAAACTGCTTCCAACGTTTCCATTATTTTTCTCAAACATTAAACAATGAATTGTCTTAATCTTACAGATGTCTATCAGGACTTTATCATTGGAAAATGCTGGGCATACGCACGGACTCCCCATGGTTATAGTTTCGGCTGGCACACCATCCATGCTGATTTACTGGTCAATTTTTTGGGAAGTGTACATGTGGATCAGTGTTGGACTGCATCATTTCTCATGAGAATGAAGTTATGACTATGGAATGCAAAGGAACGATGGGTTCTCCTTCCGATCCATGCGGGCTCCGCCCAGTTAGAGGTTCGAAACGACGAGAATGGGGAGAAAAGTTAATCCATATGCGACCTAAGGCATTTCAAGCGAAAGTCGCTGGTGAGCTCATGAAAGACGGAGATCCCTGGCCAGCACTCATACCAAATAAAGAAGTATTAAGATCTATTCGTCACGAGGCTATCGGTAGAACCTATGTTCATAAAAAACCGCTGAAGGCATTGGAAATATTGCGACAAGGGAAAATGAAAAATGAAATTACTTTAATAAACAGTGATCCACTAATTGTGTGCTATACTACCGTAGATAAACAGAAAATTTATAGGAAACTGGCCCAGGAAGGGAATGTATCAGTGGCCATTGACAGCACTGGATCTCTCAACGAACCCCTCATTAGGCCTGATGGGTCTCAATCAACTGCGATTTTCTTATATCACGCAGTTGTTCGTATTGATGATTGCCAAATTTCAGTGGCCCAAATGTTGAGTGAGCGGCACACTATACGCACTATTTTCCTTTGGCTAAATAATTGGATTAAAGGTCTTAATCTGCCAGCTCCCAATGAAGTTGTAAAAGACGGTGTGTTACGTATTCACATATGTTTTTCTATAAATGATATTATCTTAAGCAAATTGAAAAAGTTACGAACAATGGAATTATTAAAAAATATAATAGACCATCGAAATGGGGTCCTCTACTTATTTGCAAATCGACAAATCAACTCACTCTGAATAATGAATTACCACACATATATTTCAAGCAAGAGTCGTATAAAAAACATTCGTAGACAAAAGACTGAAAAGGTTATATATAAATAAAAACAAAGAAACGAAAAGATAAAACCATTGACGAAGGACGGAACAGTATTTCTCACTCTGGCGGTGCAGGCCGATGACTCTTAATACAATCATTGCAGAAAAAATGAACAAATAATTACTTAAATAGAAAATAAAAATAATTCGGGTCCATACAGGAGTCCACTTATCAATGATTGAAGAGAATTCAGTTTTGTGATGTTAGGGCAGGGTTAAAATGCCAGAACGAGTAACACACCCTCTCAGAAATGGCAAAATCTTGGAAATTTCCACGTATATATAGACAAGGTCTATCTAAAAATTGATATAACTTTTATTGAAATGAATGAAAAAAATTATAAAAAATGCTAAGAACCACTAAAAGGGATAATGAACAAATTATCTCAGACGAAAAATAAATTCACGCAGTAATTATCAAGTTCTATTTACAAATTGCTGGAGATGAAGTCATCACAGGGAAAACGAGTGGACACAAAACAAAGGTCAGAATGTTTTCTAACTAAATTAATTAAAACAAATCCTTCATCCCCATAAACGGGAAATATGAATTTCTCTGTTTCACTTACACAGCATGCTAATGCATACAAGGAAAAATTGAAAATTCATAAAAATTTCATAAATTCGCATACTAGAAAAAATGAATACATGAAAAATCAAGAAATAATTTAAACTCAATATTACACAAGCCAATATTCATAAAAGTTGAAAAAAAAATTGAATTTGTTGATAATAATTGACAAATATTTACAATAACAAAAAATAAAATTAGTCGAAATGAAAGGACACTAACTATTGTAAACATCCACCAAAAATCTTTTCTTAATCTCCGTATGCAATGACGATATTAATTTTTAAAGGTGGTACACACGCATCCAAACCACGTATCCATGTGTCCACTTCAAAATTTTGGAAAATTTTAGCGCCATCTGGATTGGAGGTGAGCAAATGGTTTTCAGACAAAAGACGCTCTATATAGTGAGAACTATTAATTTCACTCATAAACATAATAAAAAATTTTTAACAAATTTAATTGTTATTAACAAAACATATGAAAATTTGCCAGGAAAATCTGGAAAAATCACCAAAGAAAGATCTTTTTAGCCTCAATCCAAATAGATTGAATTATTTCTTCATCTTAATAAACAGAAAAGATATGAATTAACAAAATTTCCACACGCGCATACAAAACGTATATCCATGTATTCATGAAGTTTGAAAAATTCTAGCGCCCTCTGTATTAGAGATGGAGAAACAGTTTCAATACAAAAAATGCTCCGTAAATACAGAACTATAAATTTCACCGATAAAAGTTACAAAAATTTATCAACAAATGCAATTGTTATTAACAAAAGACATAAAAATTATTTTAAAAAATTCGAAAAAATTCTAAAATTAAGTTCTCTAGACCCTCAACATGTAACCAAAAAATCATTTCTTAATCTTCGTAAAGAATACAGATATTGATTTTTAAATATTCACATACTCCAAACAAATCATATATCGGTGTCTTCAATTAAAATTTGAGAATTTTTAGCGCCTTCCCTATGGGAAATATAGAAAAAAGTTCAATATAGAAAATCCTGGATAAATTACGAACTACAAAAATATGCAACCCAAAATTGAAAAGTCAATAGACAAATCTGATTGTCTATTGACATGCCATTAAAAATTATTCTCGAAAATTCTGAAAATAGTTGAAATTAGCGAATTCAAGTAACAAGAACATGAATATGAAAAAAAATTATGTCAAATTTGAAAATTTAAACATGTCAATTTTGACAAATTAGATGGTTTAGTTGCAAATGCTAATAATTCCTAAACTAATGAACACTTTGGAACAATAAATTCCACAAAAATAGTCCACTAAATCGTCTACAAAATGAGCCATTAATTATGGGAAAATATTATAAAATATGGACCTTCTAATGAAATAATAACCGTTCCGAAATAATAACAATTACCATTGTCATTACCAATTGAAATGTTATAAAAAAATGGAAAAAATATTTTATTATCAGAATCGTATTTCTAGCCCAAAAACAGGCTCAAAAATGAATTTTGTCAAAATTGTCAAGAAATAATGTCAATAAACAAAAATTGTCAATTACAGTACCATAAGGGTGCCAAAAAGAAACGTTTAGGAAATAGTGAAAATCAAACTCAAAATTCACTAAAAATGGAAAATCTACCGTCAAAAAAATGTCAAAAATAATTAATCCAAGTCAAAAATGTAAAAAAATGTATTTTTAAAGACACATGTAAGGTGCCGCAGTGTTAGGGATGAGATATAAGCAATGCATAGGGGTGCCCCGTTGGCGCGCTCCCCCACCAACTCAGCCAGCAAGGCGCTCCACTGAACGCGGCAACCCCACTCATCCCACCACTGCGCCGCTCGACGCATGCGCACAGCTCGCCGCTCGGCAGTCAAGGTACCTCCAGTCGCTACGAGAAACGGCCAGTTCAACGTCGACTCTTAGAACCGCCGGTCATAACCTCCAAAGAGCTCCCGAGAATTAAATTAAAAGTAACCAGTTGGACTTAGTTTTTTTAGTGTGCTGTCCTCTTGGACTTAGTTTTTCGCGCTTAGTCCCCTTCAGACTTGGAAAATTTTCGTCTTCTGTCCTCCTGGACTTAAAATATTTTTTATGAAATTGTCCAAAGTACATCAGTGCAATTTTCAATAAGAACCGAAATAAATTCGTAGTCCGTCACTCCGAAACCGAATAAAATTCAAATTTTAAATCGAGAAAAACCGCGTGAATCCCGATGGGTTCGAACTGACCATTTCTTTCACGCGAATTCTAATTGTTTCGAATAAATTCAACTTTATATGAATTTGTGCCGTGCAGAATAATTTACCCTAGTGAATCCCTCATCAGCCCCGTAAATTCGCGAATGGCTTGCTGACTCTTTCGGGGAGGCGAGTCATTTGCTAATTAGCGATTGATCCACGTCGACCAGGATACTGCGGATGACTCACTGAGCTGGTTTAGGGATGACCCTTCACTAACTCGGTGGAGCAACCCCGTGTTTCCAGGTTGACTATCAGCCCCGCGATGCCCAAGGTGGATTAACTGACCCTTAGGGGACGGTCTGTCTATCCCAGGAGATCGCGGTTGATATTCCCTTTTTTTTTTAGAGATTTTAGTTCATTTGGCTCAGCGGATCGCATGGCTGACTGGGCGAGCTGACACAATATTCAGTGACCGTGCGTTCCAGGCAACCCCGTAATCCTCCAGGTCAATTAACCCTGATAATTGGTCCTAGTAGTTATTCCCCAGATACCTATCGGTGATAACGAAGGGAATTACGAAAGGTCACTTATCAGGCTTCCTTAAATAAAATCGGTTATTTGAAATTCAATAAATTCAGTTCACGTCCGTCGGCGAGATTCAAATAAACATCCAAAATTAAGTAAAATAACAGTCCTAATAATTCTCTCCCCTTTTTTTTATTATTTTCGGAACATTACGTGAAGGAACAATTTTAACCAGTCAATGATTTTTCCTGAAATATTAAGACAATTATATTGACAAAGGTCAAAGTGATTTCGGAGTGGACCTGAGGAGCAGTCCGTCCTCTTACTAAGCCGTCGTCGCCCGTCAGACAACAGCTAGGCCGAACATCATCCTTGGCCAGGCCGGTTGATTTACTGGCAGAACATCGCTGAATTGTTCAAGTCGGATCATTCAGGACAAAGGTCAAAGTGATTCCGGAGTGGACCTGAGGAGCAGTCCGTCCTCTTACTAAGCCGTCGTCGCCCGTCAGACAGCAGCTAGGCCGAACATCATCCTTGGCCAGGCCGTTTGATTTACTGGCAGAACATCGCTGAATTGTTCAAAGTCGGATCATCCAGGACAAAGGTAAGTCTAGTGAAGACGCCATGTGTTACTCTACCCCCGGAGGTCGGTTGATGCTCCAAAAATTAGAATTCTTTTTCTCTTAATTTGTTCGTTTTCGGGAAATTACAGTCGGCAATGAATTTCTCCTCCCTAGCATCGGCAAGCTCGTGATTTTCGGCTACCGCCCGACGATTGTCACTGATTTCAGCTTCCCTGAAAAATTTAGAAATTCGTGCCTAAGTTATTAATTCAAAATAAAATGTTAATAACGCGATTAACTGTGAAAATTCTCCCCAATCCGTAACAGGTGCTACAGCTCTCCAAAGTGCCTGCATTCGAGCTTTCATGCCGTATTTGATGACCACTGAGTACACCAATTCTTTCTTAACAACAGAAGCTGCACCACCGTGTTGGGTAAGATGCGACGGAGCCCATTTCATCCAAACCTACGTCAAAAAGTTGACGGACGTTCGACCATAAGTAGCTTGGTACTACAGGACAAGAATAGGGCAACTAATAGTATGTTGCAATATGGATCGGGTAACGGATATTATTCGTTCACTGCCCACAACGTCCCAGAGCGAATGCATTGGAATGAACGCTGATGGCACCGACTCTGCTGCACATCGAGAACGCAATAGTCTCACAAAATTGTTGCAAATTTCACGTGATTCGATCGACACTGATTTTTCAGATATGGAGACTGAAACAAAGAATGGAGATGAAGCAGAATACGTTCAGTCTGAGGAAGAATCTTCTATACTCAATTTATGGGGAGACTGGGCCATGAGTCTGAACGAATCAACGAAGGCTGAAATAGTTAGCGCCCCAGGTACTGATCTTAGTGCTTATTATCTACCAAAATTCGCTAAAAAACTTCTTGACGATTTAAAAAAAACTACCAATGTGGAGTTGTGTATTTGATGATCGCTTCAAAACTGGAAGAATCCCTGCAACGAGCTCTCAAGCAGAGAATGAGTTCAACCACGTTAAACACATATTGATGCACAATCTCCCACGAACTCGAGTAGATCGATTCGTAGAAATACACGGTAATTATTACAAGAATCTTACCAAACTCTACGATTCACAGCTCAGAGGGAAAGAGAAATCAATCAAGTAGAAAATAATTGTGCCCAGAGAAGACCAGATTTGAATGAAAACAATCCAACCCAAATCCACAGAGAAAAACCGTCGAAGGAGTTCATTAATGAAGAACCGAATAATCGATGTCCATACTGTTCAAACGGAGATTTCCCATCTGGAGCTCATAAATGAATTGTGAGTAATAGTTTTTTTTTATTCCTTTTTGTCCTTCAAGTTTCCAAACCTTTTAGGAATTTATTATTTTAAAACTTTTCCAGACCTGCAGCAGAGCCGTGCACGCGCATGACCATTGTTCGGAGTCAATCGGTGACGAGGAGGGATATGGGGAGAAACGTAGGTGTTTCGAGTGTGTTGGAAGACGGAATAGTGGTACTTTGGATGAGCCTAAAGTATCGTGAAGTATCGCCAGAATTGCATCAACAGAGTTTCATGAATCGAGACGACTATGCGAAAAGTCGAACTGATGAAGCGATGATGCCTCCAGGTGATGTGATGGATTCGTCTTGCTTTGGAAATGAGAACTCCACTATTGGCTTTAGACATCTCCGTAGACAATCTGTAGTAAATTCTAGAACAAATTCGTGTCAGAATCCCAGGAGACGTGGAAGTAAAAGGAAATTATCAATTGAGATAAAGGATTCCCGGCTGGGTGAAGCGGAAATTTTTTCTCTCTAAATTCTAATTCTCTTAGAATTAAGAGAGAAAAGTAAGAGAGTAAATTTCCAGTCATAATGAATTATTTTCATTGGTATGATCAGTACAGCTCTAATTTTTTCCACATAAAGCAAAACACTGAATATAATGGCCGATAATATTGACATTTCTAATTGAATAACTTTCACCCCAATGTAGTAAGTTTGTGAGTGTTAATCAATGGCGATTACATGAAAATTACCTGTTTTAATAAGAATAAAGCATCTGAATTTATTTAATGACCATCAATCATGAACCACCTATAAATCATTAGGTTTTCGGAATTATCGCCTCAGAATCTTTGGGTCGCCAATAGTTTATTTTTGAGTTGTGATTTTTTTTCAATATGCGAAAAATATTTGCAAATAAAGAATTTGTAAATTATCGTTTCAACTGTGAAATTTCTTCTGAATTAATAGAAATAACTCTCTTACGTAGGAATTTTCTCGCAAAAAATGAAAACAATTGTTTTCCAACTAATGTATTAATCAAGTGTACGAATACATTGTCATGTTTTTTCTTCTTTTACTTTTGATGTCTCTCTATATAAATAAAAAAATAAGGCGAAAACTTCAGGGGACACTCAAGTTCAGGGGACGTTGGGTGCCTATACGAGGAGGTGCGTGTATTTATAAGGGATGTCTATATGAGGGGGTGGTCATAAAGGGGATATCGATATTTATGGAGGATTACTATATTAGGGGGTGCTCATATGGAAGATGTTTATGGGTACNGGGGGGGGGGGCAAAGCCCCCCCCCCCGGGTTGGCGAGCGGAGCGAGCAGGGGGCGAAGTCCCCTAGTTCAACATAATTTTTAATTACATAATGTGGATAAAAAAAATGCAGATGGGTGAGAGTACAATCAATGTATCTGAGGAATTATCGGACCCAGTCAACGCTGAAGAGATGACAAGACAGGGACGACAGATTGCTGAGACAGTACCATCACCTCAGATAAACGCATCCCACTCTCGAAACTCTAAGGGGATTCGTTCAGAGGCACGAAAATCTTCACTTAGAAGTAAACGTCCAGCCGTGTACTTTGCTAGTTCATATCCTGCAAGTTATTTCGAAGCTGGTAGCATTTGGGATAAAATTTCGCTCCTAAAAAGTGGGGATGAGCAGTCACTTCAAGCTGTTCGGAAAGAAGGGATTAAATATGATCTCCAATGCACTGATTCATTTGATTCTCTATATCACCTGACCCTGGTGACAGCATCGCAATCTCTGGATTTCTGTCAGGAGATCGTTGAAGATTCTAAAATCAAGAATCGCTTCCTTCATCTCATTCGTAAAGCAAAGACGAGCAAGAGAATGAATGGGATTTATCAAGAGAGATTGGCTATACTGACTGATCATTTTGGACACACATTATCAGGACATTTCAACCTCAAGTGTTTGGTAATCAATTGTACAGCATCGATTACTGATATGTGCTGTAAAATGTTCGGTGATATCCCAACAGTTGTTAAAGCTTCAACATGTGAAAAGGGCTGCAAATTTATAGAAAAAGCACATGTGTTCTTGAAGGTTCAGAGCGAAGATCTTACTGATCAGTCCAGACTTACAGTGATACTCGAAACATCATTAAGCACTAATAGTAAGTGGCCGTGTCCTACTGGTAATTGTTCAGGTTATTGAACGACGAAAGTCATCATTCCAAGAGACTTCATCTTCTTAGCCCCCGATGCTATAAGAGTAGACACCCAAATTTTACTCTCAGAAATCCCTCGTACGTTCAAATTATCAATGAAAGTTTAAAATTACGAGGAATCGTCGCTTATCGACCGCCCTCTGTGGCAACAGAAGGTAGAACATCAAAAAACAGCCAATTGAAGGGAATGTATTCTGTGTATTGTTTGAGAAATAAAAAATGGTTCCACTATCAGCAAAAAGGTATACAGTGTAAAAGTATTGCCAAAGTATCGGTGGCACTGATACTCTACGCAAAATAACAAGGATACTTCTATGGGTAGATAATTTAGTGCAAAAAGAAGAGTTTTCCTGCGACAGACTTGTAAAAAAAAATGCGTTCACCAATTTGTGCTAGAGCTATCGATGATTTTCAAGCCGTAAAATATAATAAATTGTGAGTCTTGAAGGCTTTTGGTGGATAAGATATTCGGCTGCGGGATTTTTTGAAGAAATTTACTTGTCAATTGTGGAGTTTTCTCACTGATTCTGTCTATAAACCTAGTATGAAGATGTTTGTGATCTAATTTTGATGCGTCTTGGCTGCATTTATTTGTTTAAATATATTTAATCAACTTCAAATGATTTTTCCGATTATGTACTTCGGTGTGATTTTAATGGAATTTCATAGAGAGAATTGTCAATTTTTGGCATTTTCAGTGGATGTTGACTCCATTTTATGGTGATCTGGATATAGTTGATATTCGATGATAAAAATTGATGAATAAACATTAATGAATTAGGGATTTGAGTTTATATTAGTCGATATTCTGGGTTGATCTGAGAGTAATCATTGAAAATAGTGGGATGCAAAATCTATGGAGATTTTCCTGTGTAAAAATATTTTCAACGACTTTGTCTTGCTTCAATCATCGATAAGCAATGAAAAGAAGATGTTTTATATGCTTCAATGTCTTATAAATGTCTTCAACTTCAACGTCTTCAACTCCCCATGTGTAATCATAAGATTACACATGGAGAATTGAAAAATTTTTGAATTCACATTTCTTAATTCATCAGTATATTTGTAATCACGTGCATCACGATATTTGTAAACATTACGCCAAATCTATATTATTGTTCCAGTTTTTCTTCGTCGAACGTAATTCTTTCATTTGCTAGTGATGTTTACAGTACCTGTATTGTAAATACTTATCTTATGAAGAGAGTTTATGAAAATATGTGGTGATCTTATTACAAAGCAATTGATAATCAATAATCTTCGAGTTTAATCATCAAATTTCCTTTTTTGCTTCCGAATGGAAGCATTGAAATCGTTCGATTTTTCGAATCGCTAATTTTGCTTGGAAACGATGCAGAATGGTCTGAAATGTAAAAATACGAAGTTTGACTACCCCGTGTGGATGTGCGGGTCCACCTGGTGGTCAACTTTTTGAAAATTGGAGGAATAAAGGGCGAAAATGATTCCAAAAAATCTGAAATTTTTTCAGCTTATAGGTATTACTAAGGACTAACTGTGAGCTAAGTTTCAGCTCAATCGGTCCAGCCGTTTTTGAGAAATGACCATTCGTTTGTAAATCGTTTTTAGCCGATATCGGGAAAACTATCCAACCGATTTCGATTTTTTTTTCAAAATACTCGTCTTGATGCCTTCTGTCTTGATCAATCGAAATATGTGTACCCGTCCATACAAAGTTTCCGAGATATTTTAGTTTTTCGGTTTTTTGTTCAAAACGCTTGTTAACACTCTAACTTCCGAAAAAATGAAGATATTAACTTGAAATTTGGCATCAACTTCCCTCTTAAGACTAAAATGTTCAGTATTGAAAATGGATGAAATCGGATGAATAGTTTAGGAGATATTCAACTTTGTCTCTAAACTTATTTGCTTGAATATCTCAAAAACTATGCCACCGATTTTAATTTTTTTTTCAAAGTACTCGTCTTGGTACCCCCCATCTCAATCAATCAAAATATGTATACCCGTCCATACAAAGTTTCCGAGATATTTCAGTTTTTCGGTTTTTTGCTCAAAACGCTTGTAAACACTCTAACTTTCGAAAACATCAATATATTAACTTGAAATTTGGCATGAACTTCCCTCTTGGGACTAAGATGTTTCGTATTAAAGATGAGCAAAATGGGATGAATAGTTCAGCAGATATTCAACTTTGTATTCAAATCGATTTTCTCAAATATCTCAAAAACTATCCGACCGATTTTTTTTTCAAAATACTCATCTCGATGTCCTCTATCTCAATCAATCAAAATACGTGTACCTGTTCGTACCAAGTTTCTGCAGGTTTATAGACTATCCATAACAGGTGGACTGGTCCAGATTAGTCAGAGAAGTTCTTGAGAGAGACAGAAAAGTTGATGAAATCAACCACTGACGACAAGAAAAGTCATGAAAAAATTCACCAGAGGGTCGACAGAAATGTAATTCTTGAATGTATTTCGTCAATTTCTCTTTATTCTATTCCATCAGCAGGTTAACTTAAGTTGATATTTTCATTATTATACTCATCAAATTTTCCTTTTTCATCCTTCATTTCCCCTCTGACTCAATTTCTCTTATTTCATCGATTTCTACTTCGCCGTGGTAGCTAACTTGATCAGGCCCATAAACATGCCAGATATAGTCACGAAATTCTGGACAAATAAAATGTTCTGATCTCCAGTTCTCCTTGACGGATTCCTTTTTGAGGACAGCGTTGTGGATGTACATCAACTGTGGATTTATTCATCTATATTATTAGAGTGCNGCGTTGTGGATGTACATCAACTGTGGATTTGTTCATCTATATTATTAGAGTGCTTTTTCAGCGTGAAATTTTGAATTTTTATGAATTGCTTCCGAACGGAAGCATTGGAATCGTTCGATTTTTCGAATCGCTAATTTTGCTTGGAAATGATGTAGAATGGACCGACACGTAAAAAATACTAAGTTTGACCACCATGTGTATGTGTGCGGGTGTCCACTAGGTGGTCAACTTTTAGAAAATTAAAGGAATAGAGAACTAAACTAATTCCAAAAAATCTGAAATTTTATCAGATGATAGGTATCAATGAGGACTAACTCTGTGCTAAAGTTCAGCTCAATCGGTCCAGCCATTTGTGAGAAATCGCCATTTGTTTGTAAATCGTTTTTTGCAAATATTTCAAAAATTATACAACCGATTTCAATTTTTATTCCCTCAAAAAAATGTCTTATATCTCAACCAATCAAAATATATATATATATATATATATATATATATATATATATATATAT